AATATTTGAATTATAATAGTGTTAGAATTGTCCAAAAAATGATTCCTACTTGTAGGTGTATTTAATTGGGACTTTTAAAGACTTTTTTAGATTTTATGGAATTTCAAGTGACTTCTATGAATTTTTGAAGAATTAAATAAGTCTTCAATAACTTTTGTAGACTTTGATTAAAAATTTTAAAAAACTTTTAAAGTCTTTTTCATCTTGTAAATTCATTATATACCTGAAAAATAACAATCATTCCTACTTCCTAATTAACATTTTTGAGAACCATGACATCCATAATAATTTTTTTGGATAGAGTCACTTGTCATGGGCTAGTCATTCAATTTTGGTGCAAATAAAATAATATAAAACTTTTATATCAATTTCTAAAGACACGATAAAAAAAAATTTCACAATTGACATAATTTCTAGGACACAAATTGTTCTTAACAAAAAAAAGGTTGATTATATAATTTTATGTGTTAGGTCTCAAATTGTAATTGGCATTCTATGAACAAAAAGGGACTTAATTGAACATGTTTAAAAGGCAAGGCTTGATGTGCAATATTGTATAGTTGTTAGGGTTTGGTTTGTGTATGGAAAGGGAGCCAGCCAAAAATTATATATATACCTCTACACGCCTACAAAAAAGAAAAAGCCGCCTGGGAGAGAGAAAAAGAAGCGGCTGCCGGCTGGGAAGGCTGATTATCATATCCATATTAAATACATTGGTGCCGCCAACATCTATGGGAGACAAAATTAAAGTGGTTGCTGGTGTAATTAAGAAAAAACAGCAGATTGTAGGTCGAAAATTGAGTGGTGGAATTGATCGAGTCAGCCAGCTGCTGGTCGAGATTTTGAATATTCATGCACGCCTACCGGAATTAAGTGGGTTGCCGGCCGCTGAATTTAAATAAACATATATACGCAAATTGAGATAGCTTTGGACACATATTGGCAGCGGGAATCGATCTTTGATTTCGCTTGACTAGAGATCCAAGTTGTAATTCATTGGTAAATCCATCTACATCAATCTTGTGATCCGGCAACCACGTTTGGGAAAAACATCAAGGTTTCTAAAGACAAAATACTGGTGGTTCCTTAATCCTTTGAGGAACAGACTATCTAATTGGGGATTGAGAGAGATGGACGACAAGCACAGGAACTGGACAAGAACTGGAGGTTATTGGAATTCCACTTGGTGATACAATCAGCTAAAGACCAGGAGGCTATATTGGATAGCAGATTGGGCTGCAGGAGATTAGAAGTATTTATAGCAGTAGATAGTGAGATTGGAACAGCGGGTCTGACTAGGTATGGAGTTTGGCAGAACTTGTACTTGTTGGATTGGTATAGTGGAAACTATTGGCTTGTTCCCGGAGTTTTACCCACATTGGGGTTTCTCCGTCATCAAACAACTGTGTTCTTTATATTTTTGCAATTTACTTATTTTCGTTAATTCAACGTAGGATAGTAAAGCTTGTGAATTGACTTGGACACATTAATAATTGTGACTTGTTACATTTATTTATTAATTTGTAAAATTTTGCATAAACACATATTCATCCCCCTCTAGGTGTTATTTGGGTCAAACTACGTTATTTCAAGTGGTATCATAGCTAAAACTCGAGTCCTGACCTATTGTTGTCTAGATGAGTCAATCACTATCTGTGCCTCCGTATTTTGACGGAAGCAATTATGCCTATTGGAAGGTTAGGATGCGTGCTTTTCTCAAGTCCTTAGATGAACGTGTTTGGGTGAGTGTACAAAATGGTTGGAAACCTCCTTCCACAATTGTGTCAGGTGTTGTCAATCCAACTGATATTTCACTTTGGACTAAGGAAGAATTAGCTTATTGCAATTGGAATAGCAAAGGACTTCATGCATTGTTCCCGAAGAATTTAGGAGAGTGTCAATGTGTGAAACTGCTAAAGAGGTATGGGACATTCTAGAGACTACGCATGAGGGAACTAAAATCGTAAAAAATTCAAAATTACAAATGCTAACCTCTAGGTTTGAAGAAATCAGGATGAAGGATGATGAATCGTTTGATGAGTTTTATGCAAAATTAAATGACATTGTAAACTCTAGTTTCAATCTAGGTGAGAAGATTCCCGAGTCAAAAATTGTGAGAAAGGTTCTTAGGTCTTTGCCCGAGAGATTTAGACCTAAGGTTACAGCTATTGCAGAGAGTAAGGATTTGAACATGGTTAAGATAGAAGAACTTGTAGGATCCATTCAGATCTATGTACTCACCATCTCACAACCTAAGAAAAACAAGTCCATAGCGCTGAACACAGTTGGAGAAGAAGAGTCTGAGTTGTCTGACATAGAAACCCTTAGAGATGAGGAAATAGCTTACTTCGTAAAGAAGTTCCAGAAAGCTTTAAAGGGCAAGAGACGGTCCCAAGACAAAAATAGAGGAGTCCCTAGTAAATTCCAAAAAGAGGAGTGATAAACCAACTGCTAGGAAGTCTAGTAAGAAATCTCAAGTTGTTGGGTGCCATGAGTGTCAGAGATTTGGGCACTATAGAAATGAATGTCCTAGCTTTAAGAAAAATCTGAAAAAGGGAAGGAGCAAGGCATTAGCTGTGTCATTGACTGATGATGATTCAAACTCAAGTGATCAAAGGGATTCCTCTAGTAGTGAAGATGAAAAGGGTTATATGGCTTTTGTGTCTATAGTTAAGAGTGAGTCAGATAAGGACGGTGAGAAGGTTGAGGAGGATGTAGAGAGTGAGAAGTCTAGTGGCGATACTGAGGATGAGATGGATATACATGAGGCTTATCAACTTCTGTTTAAGGAGAGTCTCAAGATCAAAAAGGTAAAAAAGACCCTATTTAAGAAGGTAGACGAACTTAGAGAGAGAAAGAGAGACTAACTAATGATCTTCAGGTCTCATCTAAAAACCTTAGTGAGTTGAAGTGTGTCAATGAGAAGCTAGAGGACAAGTTTAAGACACTAACTTGTGAGTTAGAGAAATCTAATATTCAACTGCAGTCTTTTATGAGTGGGACTAAGAAACTAGATGACCTGTTAGGAATGAACAAACCCACTGGGAATAGGCAAGGTCTAGGATTTGTAAAGAGTGAAGCAACGTGACTAGTTCATCCAAGACCACATTCTTGCCTGTTTCCAACTATCCTAGTAATTCAATCAATCGTGAATCCAAAAGTAAAAGTGTCACTGAATTGAATGCCACTAGAGCCTGTAAGATTTCCACACCAAAATTTCAGCACCAACAATCACATGCATTTGAGCCTAGGTTCATACCCACTTGTCATCACTGTGGCGCTTTAGGACACACGAGACCTAGGTGTCATAAGCTAGCAGATAGGAATAGAAATCAGGATATCCTTAGTCAAGTAAACTTCCTTTCAAATCAGGTTAGTCACTTAACTGAGATGGTGACAAAATTGACTAGGATTACCTCAACCTCTAGAAAAGTTTGGGTCAAGAAATCTGATGTGGGTAGGTATGGTGAGAATTCAAATTGTTCTGTAGCTCATGTTGCATATAAGACTCAAAATACATGTATGTGGTATCTTGATAGTGCTTGTTCTAGACACATGTGCGGTAATAAGGTCTTATTCTCTACCTTTGATGACTGCAACAGTGGTGTAGTTATCTTTGGAGATGGGGGTACGACACCTCTCCGTGGTAAAGGCACCATCAACATATTTGGACTTCCTACTATATCTAATGTGTTTTATGTAGAAGGTCTTAAGTCCAATCTGTTGAGCATTAGTCAAATTTGTGATGCTGACTATGAAGTGAGTTTTATTCAAAAGAGATGTACTATGTATGACTCTTCAGGTGATGTTGTCTTTGAAGGTGTTAGAACGTCTGATAACTGTTATGGAGTTCTCCTAAACTCTATCTATGTGTGCAGCAGTGCTAAAATTGATATGTCCAAACTTTGGTATCAAAGACTCGGTCATATTAACTATAAAAGCATGTCAAAATTAGTCAAAAAGAAAATTATTGATGGTTTACCTAAAATTGAACAAAATGAAAATGCTGTGTGCAAGCCGTGTCAACAAGGAAAACAATTTAGGATAAACCATAAACAAACATCTAAAATCTTGATAAACAGACCCTTAGAACTTCTCCATATGGATTTAATGGGACCTTCTAGGATTGAGAGCCTAGGAGGTAAACGTTATATTCTTGTTATGGTGGACGATTTCTCTAGATATACCTGGATTGAGCTACTAAGAGAAAAATTCGAGACTTGTGATCTGGTTAAATCTTTGTGTAAAAGACTCAGAATTGAACAAAATCTTTCCATTTCTAGGGTTCGAAGTGATCATGGAAAAGAGTTTGAAAACTCTAATCTTGAAAACTTCTGTTTGAAGGAGGGGATTCAGCATGAGTTTTCCTCACCAATCACTCCACAACAAAATGAGGTTGTTGAGAGGAAAAATAGATTGCAACAGGAAATGGCTAGAGCCATGCTTCATGGCAAGGATCTAGCAATGCATTTATGGGGTGAAGCTATTAACACTGCTTGCCACATAGTGAACAGAGTATACCTGAGACCGAAAATCGATAAGACTCCTTATGAGATCTGGAGGGGCAAGAAGCCTACTGTTAAATACTTTCGTGTGTTTGGAAACAAGTGCTACATTCTAAGGGACAGAGAAAACTTAGGCAAGTTTGATTCCAAAAGTGATGAAGGGTTTTTTCTAGGGTACTCTAGGAACAGTAGAGCCTATCAAGTATACAACTTACGTACTCAGAATGTCATGGAGTCTATAATTATTGTTATTGATGATGCTTTCTCTAAGGGAGAGAGCGTTGAAAATGGGATAGATTTAGATGATCAAAGTGTTGATCAAGGACCCACAATCGAAGATAAAGAACAATCAATTCCAAAATCTTCACGATCCCCCAAAGGCATAGACATTTCTGTTAAGGATCCTGTGAACAAACTAAGCTTCCTAGAGAACCATCATCCAGGGTCAAATCTAACCATCCTAAGTTCAACATCATTGGGGATCTAGATGAAGGTATGAGGTTAAGAAAGAGAGTTCTAAATAACAAAACCTATCCAAGTTATGTATCTCAGATTGAACCTAAGAAAGTTGAGGAAGCTCTTAAAGATGAATGTTGGGTGAATGCAATACATGAGGAGCTTAATCAATTTGTTCGAAACAATGTTTGGTATCTAGTGCCTAGGCTTGATGATTGCAATGTGATATGTACTAAGTGGATTTTCAAGAACAAGATCGATGACCAGGGTACCATAACAAGAAATAAGGTTAGGCTAGTTGCTCAGGGGTACACTCAGGTTGAAGGGATAGATTTTGATGAGATATTTACCCCTGTTGCACGTCTTGAATCCATTCGCATCCTTCTTATGGTTGCTTGTACTTGAGGGTTCAAATTGTATCAAATGAATGTCAAGAGTGCCATTTTGAATGGAATACTTCAAGAAGAGGCATATGTTGAACAGTCCAAAGGATTCATCGTTCCTAAGCTTCCCCATTATGTCTACAAATTGAATAAAGCCTTGTATGGTCTGAAACAAGCTCCTGGAGCTTGGTATAACAGACTCACTGCATATCTCGTTGATCATGGTTTTTCACGAAGTGGTGGAGACAGAACTTTATTCATTAGACATATTGAAGAAACCATAACTATAGCACAGATCTATGTTGATGATATTGTGTTTGGCTCTCCCATTGACTTCCTTGCTTATGAATTTTTCGAATGTATGAAACGAGAATATGAAATGAGCATGGTTGGAGAGGTAAGTTACTTCCTTGGCCTTCAAGTAAAGCAAATTGACTATGGGTTGTTTATCTCTCAGTCAAAGTATGCCAAAGACCTAGTTGAGCGATTTGGACTGGATAGTAAAAAACACACAAGGACACCTATGAGCACAAGTGCTAAGTTAGGTTATGATCCTATATGTAGAAATATTGATCAGACATTGTATAAGAGTATGATAGATAGCTTACTCTACCTTACAGCCAGTAGACCTGACATAGCTTTCAGTGTTGGCGTGTGTGCAATATTTTAGGCAGATCCTAAGGAATCCCATTTTAGTGCAGTAAGACGTATCATTAGGTATGTGAATGGGACTATAAATCATGAGATCTTATATTCCAGAGAGTCAAATCTTGAACTCGCCGGCTATTCTGATGTCGATTGGGCTGGAAATGTCGATGATAGGAAGAGTACCTCGGGTGGATGCTTCTATGTTGGTTCTAATCTTGTGTCATGGATGAGTAAGAAACAAAACTCAACTTCTCTGTCTATAGTCGAGGCATAATACATTGCAGCCGGTAGCTGCTGCACTCAATTGCTTTGGATGAAGCAAATGTTGAGAGATTATGGGATAAATCAGGGCACCATGATTGTGTTTTGTGATAACACCAGCGCTATCAATATATCCAAAAATCCTATTCAACATTCTAGGACTAAACATATTGATATTCGTCATCACTTCATCCGTAAACTTGTTGAGTCCAATGTGGTATCCCTTGAACACATTGCTACAGAAAATCAGTTTGCAGATCTGTTCACTAAACCTTTAGATGGTCTGAGATTTGAGTCACTTACGAAGGCTGTTGGTGTTTATGTACCTCCTTGACCAGTTTTATAGGAACATTCATGTACAGCTCACTTCCATGTCTATTTTTGCATTCATTTCATTGCATGTTCATTTTGTTTGCATTTATCTTCTTCATATGTTTGTCATCTCATCATATAAAAAAATTAAATAAAAAATAAAAAAAATTACGGTGACACAACTGTGTGGCGCATTCATGTTAAAATAAAAAAAAATAAGAAAAAAGGAGGAAAATTTCTACAGCTTGATATATAATTCTGAAACTTGTATGTTATGACCGTGTATGAGCTCAAATGGAAAAGTTGTAGCATTATTTCCATTGCTTGTTTAGGTCATCATGGAGTACTTAGTATAGGTGTTTTCATGTACCATCTGCACTGCACACAGTATGAATTTGTTAGTGGGACTCCACCGTGTGTGTGAGATTTGGGATGGCTGTCACATGTTAATAGGGTGACTTTGAACATGAATTGACCATTATTTAGTAGACCTAAACCCAAAAATAATCCCCCCATCACAATAAGCTCATATCTTAATGTTCTTCTTCAGGGCTTATTTGACTTGAACAATTAAGCCTGCAGAGTCTCTTAAAACTTGGTGCTTATGGTCAACTGATCACTTAGGTTAACCGGCCTAAAGCCCACTTCAGGGGTCATCAAAGTCGCCTAATGGAGAAGAACCTGCACTTAAGATGAACAATTAATGAGAGTTGGAATAATATGAAAATCTGAAAAATATAAAAGCTCATAGTAAGGGGGAGATAAGTAAAAATGATAAGTATAGGTCCTACTGCACATTACATGGTTTGACTTTCATTATTAGGATAATATACTTATTGGCAGTGATTGACATGTCCCTTCTCACAAAATTAAGGTTTGGAGTCTTGCTTGCATTTGATTAATGATACTTTACACACATGAGTCACTTATATTTTTATTACTTCATTTTGGACTGAACTCAATATGTGAAGAGGTATACTACTTGTTAATTTTGCTTTTACATGTTATCAACTGCATTTTTTGTAGTTATGTGTTATTGCTCGACTTGGTCTTAATGTGATTCCCTTCAGCATTTATGACAAAAAGGGGGAGAGAAAATGTATATACTGAGGGGGAGAAAATGGAAAATGAGAGCATGCACATTTTGTTGATTGACATTACTTGTATTGCATTGCTATGTCTAGGGGTCGTCGGGGAGAGACATAGATACATTTACCTACTGCATAAAAATATGAAAGTTTGCATTAAGGGGGAGCGTTGCATTACATTCCATATCACATCCATAGCTGTTTCAGTTTTGATGTTTAGTGACGTTAATGTTTCGATTGGTGTTTTGATTGACATTAATGTTACATCTCAAACTAGCATGTTAATTTGTGATTAAGTGCTTTAATTTATATATTTCCTGTATCACGTGCTTTTACACTGGGTATGTGAGTTTTTGAATTTCAGGAAACATATACAACAAGGAATGCAAGACTCGGTGATTCGAATGCTGGATAGTTTAGGTTGTTTTGATTGATTGTAATTCCTTGACTTGAATTTGTATAGTTTTGTCAGAGAATGCCAAAGGGGGAGTTTGTTAGGTCTAAAATTGTAATTAGCATTCTATGAACAAAAAATGGACTTAATTGAACATGTTTAAAAGGCAAGGCTTGATGTGCAATATTGTATAGTTGTTAGGGTTTGGTTTGTGTATGGAAAGGGAGCCAACAAAAAATTATATATACACCTCTACACGCCTACAAAAAAGAAAAAGTCGCCTGGGAGAGAGAAAAAAAATACACGAAGCGGCTGCCGGCTAGGGAGGCTGATTATCATATCTATATTAAATACATTGGTGCTGCCAACATCTGTGGGAGACATAATTAAAGTGGTTGCTAGTGGAATTAAGAAAAAACGGTAGATTGCAGGTCGAAAATTGAGTGGTGGAATTGATCGAGTCAGCCAGCTGCTGGGCAAGATTTAGTAGGCTGCTAAGTTGAATTTAATACATACATATACACCCACAGAAAACCGAAAGTGGAGGCCGTTGGAGGAAATAAAAAGACATGCTGTTGAATTGAATTTTCTTGGTCACATGCATGCAGAGACAACAAATTGTTTGGCAAAGTTATATTATTATATTTACCCACGTTGGTTGCGACAGTAAAGAAAGAAGACAGAATTGGACTCCCTTTTTGGTGGTAAACATTGCAACCAAGATATATATATATGCTGAATTTAAATAAACATATATGCGCAAATTGAGATAGCTTTGGACACATATTGGCCATGGGAATCGATCTTTGATTTCGCCTGACTAGAGATCCAAGTTGTAATTCATTGGTGAATCCATCTACATCAATCTTGTGATCCGGCAACCATGGTTGGGAAAAACATCAAGGTTTCTAAAGGCAAAACACCGGTGGTTCCTTAATCCTTTGAGGAACGGACTATCTCATTGGGGATTGAGAGCGGTGGACGACAAGCGTAGGAACTGGACAAGAACAGAAAGTTCTTAGAATTCCACTTGGTGATACAATCAGCTAAAGACCAGGATGCTGTATTGGATAACAGATTGAGTTGCAGGAGATAGATCGAGAAGCTAGCAGGAAATTAGCAGTGTCTACAGCAGTAGATAATGAGACTGGAACAGTGGGTCTGACTGGGTACGGAATTTAGCAGAACTTGTACTTGTTGGATTGGTATAGTGGAAACTACTGGCTTGGTCCCGAAATTTTACGCACATTGGGGTTTCTCCGTCATCAAACAACTGTGTTCTTTATATTTTTGCAATTTACTTATTTCCTGTAATTCAATGTAGGATAATAAAACATGTGAATTGACTTGGACACATTAATAATTGTGACTTGTTGCATTTATTAATTAATTTGTAAAATTTCACATAAACACCTATTCACTCTCCCTCTAGGTGTTATTTGGGTCAAACTACATTATTTCATTATGCTTTGAAACAATTGCATATAATTTCAATTCAAAAGTTATTATATAAATATAGAATAATCATAAATTGATTACATCAAATGAATCGAAGAGAAATGTGAAAATCCTAAACTTGAAAGCAAAAGAAATTCTTTATTTTTGGAGGCTCTGAAATATTCACAAATCTCAGAGTATGTTAGAATTTTATTGTATCAACAATTCTTTAGACAAAAGGATTAATATGAAAAGTTGTAAAACTTAAGAAGTCAATTGAAATGTTGTATAGATGAATGTGTAACTTAGGATTCGAGTTTGAAATAAGAAGAAAAGAGTCACTGGATTTACGCCAGCCTATCGTCTCTCTGATGCTTGAGCAAAAAACAAAAAAAACATCGTTGTCCTCCTGTCACCGAGCTTTCGCTTGAGCAACACACCAGTCATTCACCTGTCGCTAGCTTGGTGCTTGAGCGACAGTATTACGTGTAAAACTCTAGTTCACATTTTTCAAGAGTTTTATTTGACCGATGCTACCTAAATACCTTCTACTATATATACCCCAAACCTAACACGAATTTGGTGGTGTTTGATTATTTCATTCTTTCTCCATAACATCTTTCCTAGATTTAAGAACACATTCAAGCCTTTGATAAATCTTTTGATTATTGAGTTCACACAACCACATATTTGAGTAAAACATCAAAATCACATAATCTAAAACACACATTTCCTATACACATATAGGAAGGTACTTTCTCAAAAGACTTCAGAGATTGATGGAGCTTGGATCAGAAAATACAAGAAGAGTACAAAAACAATGAGTTTTTGATGATCCACAGGAGATAGACAATTTCAGAAGATCGGCAGCAGTAGTGGATTTTGGAGATTACAGGAAGTAGATTAGCGAGTCTAGTGAATTTTTTAGGATGGATCATACTGTAAATTCCTTATTGTCTATAGTAGATGTTACTGGCTTGGTTTCAGAATTTTTATCTAGTTGGGTTTTCTCCGTCAACATATTTTATATTATTTATTGCTTTTATATTATTGATTGTGGCATTCAAATCATATGATAAATTTACTTTATTGACTAAACATCTAGAACAATTAAAAAATAAATCGTTGCTTTTAATTGGTTATTTTAATTTCGCAGTATTCACTATTCATCCCCCTTAAGGTAATTTTAGAGTCAAATTAGTAACTAGCAAAGTATATGGGAGATTTTCTTTGAAATTTGCTCTCCACACACACAAAAAGTCTCCAAAAGTTCAGTACATAAAGAATATTCTAAAGTTTCATTGTCTATTTAAATACCCTATACTCTTACGTATTTTTAAAAAAGTTCAATTGAATAATTTGAGACTTCTAAATTTTTTTAAAAAATTTATAGAAATCTCAATTGAATACATCTATAATTTGGGGGAGCATTTTTAAAAATCTCAATTGAATACACCAAGACTTTTTAAATTCTCAAGGTCTTTAAAAGTCTCAAGTGATTACTCCCCTTGGCGTGATTTTAATATATTATTATTATTACTTATTATAGAAATGAATTAAAGTTACGAAAGAGTGCTAATGAATTGCATCGTGTGAAAAGGATTAAGCTCCTTTACCAGAAAAATTATGATATAAGAGTTGACAGAATCCTATGTGGTGAAAAATAATTTGATGAAAAAAGATAAATGTGTTGTAAACAATTCAATAATAAAGCGTAATGTGACATTATCGAAATCATTATGTCAATGTTTTTGACATATAGTATGATTGGTCTAAAAATCCTCAAATTATCATTTTTAGCGACGCCTTTCCCAACTTCCAAATCCCGAACTGATCCCAAGCGATAAGCTCCCAGTAAGAACTGTACATGGAGGACGGAATTCCCAACAATACTTTCGCTACGCAACCCGGCGGTGGCGACCGCATCAAGCTCAACGTCGGGGGCAAGCTTTTCGAGACTACTGTCTCCACCCTCCGGTCTGGCGGCCCGGATTCCCTATTATCTGCTCTTTCAAACCGACCGAATCAGGACTCGGTGTTCATAGACCGGGACCCGGAGATCTTCTCTGTCCTCCTCTCTCTTCTCCGGTCCAACCGCCTTCCTTCCACCGCCAAACGCTTCTCTAATCAGGAGCTTATTGATGAGGCTTTATATTATGGTATTGAGTCGCAGCTCCGAATGGCACTTGCGCCGTGTCGACTCAATGGGATAGATGCTTCGCTCTTAACCACTCTCAAGCCATCTTCAGATGGAATTGTTTCTGCCTTTAATGCTATTGACTCCGACGGGTCCCTATGGGTCGCCCATGGCGGCCAGATCTCCGTCTATGACTGGAATCTCAGCCACACAGCCACCGTTCGAACGCACCTAGACTTCATCACTTCTATTCGGAGAGTGCAACCCGAGATTGCTGCGATTGGGTCATTATATGAGTCGGGCTTACATTTTTACAATATGACCAATGGGTGCCGAGTAGACTCTGCGGATTGGGTAGACCCTTCCGATGTTCGTATCTATAAAGCCCGAGTACACGCGATAGCTGACTCGGAGGACTCCGTCTTCGCATCCTATGATTGTAAGCATGGTGAGAATTGTGTTCTGATGATAGATAAGTCGACTTTGAAAATTTCGTCTGAGATTGGGAGAATGCCGGGAACCTCCTCGAAAAACGCTGTCCCAGGAAAGCTGACGTATGTGCCGGATATGGGGATTTTGGTTGGGAGCTCTGTCACGTCTGGTGCATTTGGATACTCCGGTTACATACGATTGTGGGATCCAAGGTCCGGGGAGGTGGTTTGGGAAACAAATGAGCCGGGCTCTGGCCGAAGCAGCAGGTTTGGGGACTCATTTGCTGACGTGGATGTCGACTTGGATAACCTGGCATTATTCAAACTCTGCTCAAAATCGGGTGATTTGGCAGTTGCGGAGCTGCGCAAATTGAGCGATGATCCATGGGTTTATTTGAAAGAGAAGAATCCGAGTATGAGGAATGTAGGAATAAGTAGTGGCATTGCTGGGGGAAATTTGCTAATACACTGTTACAGGAAGCAAGTGTTTGTGGGGAGAGAAGGGGAGATGGAGGTGTGGTCAAGAGTGGAGGATAATGCGGATGGAGAGGGCATTTTAAGTGAAGGGTTGTGCCGAAGGAATTATGTAGATAAGGTAGAGGATGCTGAAAGAGGGATCATAAAGAAAATTGAGGGAGGCGGGGATCGTCTTTTTGTGACTCGAGAAGATGTTGAGGGAATTGAGGTGTGGCAGAGTTCGAATTACTCTGGCGCAGTTTCAGTTTTATGATTTAATCAATATATAGAAGAACGGACTGGTGGTATGTTAACGTCAATGGCGTTGTTCATTTTGTATTGTGATATGGTGGTGGACAGGATCGTTTATGCTGATTATTCTGGGACGTAGTTTATCATTGGAGAAAGAAGTCCAATGTGGAATATAGTTGTTTTTGGAGGTAGGCCTCCTTTTGTTAGTTTGTTTACAATGATTTATTTACCTGATTTCATGTTTTTTCAACTTCTTGATCTGTATGTTAAGGTGCATTGTCCTTGTTATTTATGGACGTCTATGTATTTCTTTCCTCTGAAATTCATGTTGATAATTATTATTTATTTTCTAGATTTTATTCCCAGTATACAGAACTAGTGAGAGGCAGGATAATGATCGTGGATTCCTTTATTGCTGTTGCGGGTGAGTGATCCAACTTGGAAATAGTTTTGCCAGATCAATAACTAAAGGTTTCTGTTTTTCTTTCATGCAGTTCCTGATTGCTTGATATGTTCACAAAAAATGTCTACTAAATATAATTGCCGATTCAAAATATGAATGCTATCTAGTCTTTTAAAATAACAATCACTCGACACTTGCAGAGGAGAATAGAGCAAAATCTTTTGTATTTTGAGGTGCAGGAAAAATCTGATAAAAATGAGAATGGCTGTTGTTCCTGTTTGTACGCTTGTGTTCTCTCAATGCTATCTATTATTCATAACTTGATTTATGGTTTTTATACATTTATTTAGGATTTATTTCGTTTCTTAGTGATCTTTTGGAGTTACTTTATTTGTTTATTTTCAACTTGTAGCTGGAATCAGAATTTTCATTTGACTAAGATTTAAAGGTTCAAGCTTCAAATTTATGGTAAACAAAGTCACCTAGAAAGTATGGCTGCTGGTTGACGTTATTAATATGTGGTAATGACTTTGGCTGGCTATAGTGCTATTAGGTGGTGTTAGGTTTATTCCGAGCTGATACAAAGCAGTAATTCTAATTCTGATTCAATAAATGCCCATGTAAATAAACATATGCACGTAGAAGCAGACAAATCATGTGAAGATTTTTGAAATATTAAAAAATGGAACAAAATTAGGCATCACTGAAGGGAAAATTTAAAGAAAATATTAGTTATCCCATGGGAAAAAAAGGTGGTGGAAAAAGCCTATTCTCGGTCTTTCTACTTAAAGCAATTGAGTGAGAGGAATGGGAGTACGCAAATAATGAGATTACAATTTTCTGATTCACTGCAATTGGTGATCTAGATAGCTAATTACGTACAATCTATTTTGAGTTAACCTCATTGGAAATCATGTTTGGGAGGGGGAATCAGTGACTTGTGGCAGCTTCAACTGTCTAATAGTGATACAGAGTGTCAATCCGAATCCATCTTTAGCCAATTGTGAATCGTATGCAGTCATATGTCCAGTGAGACAGTCAAAGAAACTTCAAATATAGATTTGTTCTTTCTTTGTAATAAACTCATTCTAGTCAAAGATGATTAATATTAAGCAACGAAAACACTATTATGCTGTATATGTTGCAGCATGATCACTTTGGCACTTGTCTTCAGTGGCTCGTGTCAAGAATGTGCCCATAATGAAGACCTAGAGTTTAAAATTTCCTGGCATGTGTAACTTAAACGTAAATAATGGGTTACCATAGTTTAGTTTGTTTCAGTCGTTCAGGGGCAAGAGGAGCAGGAGACACCCTGACATCCTCATTGCCTTGATCTCAGTGGGTCAGTTAAGAGGTTCCCCTATACAATGTCTTTTACCCACTGGGTTTGCAACGAGTGTAGACCTGCAAATTGATTAGTATACCATAGCCGGCTTCGCATTATAGTTCAACTAAAATTGTTTTATTCATCTTGTCGTTATACTTGTTCTGTCATTTGGGCCTCAAACTCACAGTTCATTTTTATTAGTGATATCCATATGGCTACTAACTCAAGAAGTTAATAATCTAAAGAATGAGACTGAACTTGAGACTGTTTTTACAAGCCACTCAATTAGGTACATATTTGCATTAACTATATTCTTTCACGAGAGTTTAGCTCGATTTTGCATTTTCTGGGGCTTTTAAGCCACTCATTGTCTGGCATTTAGGTGACTAATAAAATCAATCTTTAGATTATTGCCTTCTGGTAACAATATACTTCTACATTTTGAAACCCCACTTATCTTGGAACCTGCTTTCATAGAAGTTCCACTATCTGCTCCTCAATTTGTATGGACCAGACTTTTGATGAAAGAATGTTTTCAAGAACTGTTCAGCATAATAGAATTTTATATTATCTACACGTTTGTGATTCCTATGTACAATTTGCATCAATCTTGTCGTAGTTTTGCATCCATATCTCCCTGCAACGCTCTCTATAGATGTGGTTGGAGTAGTGGTCAGCACATAAAACTTGCTGGCTCTTTACTGTTCAGCATAAAAAATAGAAAACTTTGATTCATTTGCTTCTTGAACAACAAAGAACGACTCAATTTTGAAGATAATTGTGTTGACTATCATTCCACGTTCTTTCACGATAAATTGACTTTAGCTCTCGGCTAGGAGCTGCTGCAATATTTATCTCTTTGTTCCTTGGAAAGTGGCGTTCTAGTTCTCCGTGCATGTTGGCGTTCTATTTTGATTTGATTTACCAAACCAATTGTTGAAGGAGTGTTAAGAAGTTGATATTATCGGTGTTGTTCCCATTCCTTGAACTGGGGATTGCTTGTTAGTAAATTCTCTTTCTAAATATGGTGCAATAAAAAATAATTTTTGGAGCTGTTGCTTCAAAATTTTTATTAAGTTGCATAAACATAAATTCTCAAATTTCTATTTCTTAAAAATAAATTGAAGACCTATATAAATTTTATTTTTTTTTCAACACAAGTAAAATAATTAAAATATTTTTAAGGAATGTTACTTTGATCGACCAAGCTGAAAGACAGGCACATTTCCAAAAGCCATGCCCCTACCGCTAGTGAAGTTCTGGTCTTTCCCCCCACCTTTGTGTTGTGCTCATGTCCTCCTTTCGTGCCTTTAGATCCACTCGTTGGAGAACAAATAGAAGGTTTGTTTGTTGGGCTTATCGCCCTCGTTCTCTTTCAGGCCGTTCAACCAATCGATCCAATCCTGGAGAGTTGCTTTTGCTAAAACTCGAGCGACCGCGAGGAAGGCCCTAGACGAGTGATTGACTAACCATCAGGCTCTTTAAACCTTGCAGGGTCAATGCACTCTTTCATTTGCTTCTTCTTTTCAGAAGCCTTGACAGCATTTAACATATATTTTATTTGAACCAAATTATAATTAATTATTTATTCCGATCCCAATTGAAAATAAATGCCCATGCACGTAGAAGTGGACAAATCATGTAAAGACTTTTGAAATATTACAAATTGGAACAAAATGAGGCATCACCGAGGTTAAAATTTAAAGAAAACATTAGTTATCAGGCGTGGGAAAGAAGCATCGGCCAAGGACATTTATTCTCATCAGATGGCCAATTGAAATTAGTTGGATATCACGATGCAAATTGGGCCGATGCTCAAGTAAAAGGTTGTCAGTAACGGTGTATTGTATATTTGTAGACAAACTACTAGTGTCTTAGAAAAACAAGAAGCAAACTATAATGTTCAAGTCTTAAGCAGAAACAATCATACTACAGTGTCAGAATCATTGATATAATAGTTGACATAATGTTGCAGGACGCTCTATCAATGAATTGTTTAAAACAAATTCAATTCCACCAAATCATTTTCCACCACATAGGAATCTGTTACTGCTTCTGTCACCGTTCATCTGCCAAAGAAGCATAATTGTAAGCAGAAGCCTAATGTAGGTCTAAGGCAATAGTCACGTCCTCAGTTGACTAAGGTACTTGCTAAAAGACTCAGTTGTTAAGACCAGAAATTAAAAACTCGCACCACGTAAGAACCAAATTGAAGTCGAGCTGATTAGTTTCCAAATTTTTGTGTGTGACTATACAATTTTTGTAGCATCTACATACTTGGATCGTGAAAATACCATTGATTGTACAAAATCATGCAAGTGTAAGATATTGTAGACAAATACTATAATGATGAATAAATTATCGTCCCTCGAAGAATATGTATCTACCCTAATGTTAATTAATAGCAACTCTAGTCAAAAAACCAATTTTTGATTGTGAATGTTATACTAATCTATCTATTTAAACTAATTATTTTAATGAGCAACCTACGAAAGCTTTTGTGGCATTACAAACTAGTCTCATAAGTCTCGCTATCTCTCGAGTTCAATTATGAACGTCAACGTCATCTAATTGTTGTCATTAACCTAGTATTCCTTAGAATTTATTTTCTAGGCCCAAGAGATCATTAATAGACATATAAATGCTGAAATCACATTAAATATCGAAATGGACAGAATCTGTTTTCAGATTTTCATTACCGTCCAATTATTTTTCCAATCCTTTTTTACCTCCTTAACTATATTCGACGACTCCCAAATTCTTACCACTCACCTATAACATATATGTGAAGATAATCATGTCATAATATTGTGACAAATGAAGGGTTTTGAGCTTCAGATAAAATGTCTCTTCGGATATTTTCTGCATCAGGTACATATAATCGTCCTCTAAACCACAAGATACCATATGCTAATATATGAAAATCTGAAACTTTTCCATCATCTATATCATTTTTTATCTTGGAACAATAATCATCTTCCTGTTGCCTTTGCTGAATTCTATTCAATAAAGTTGGCTGAAGTGTCAATGTTGCAAGTTTAGTCTCTACAAATCCTTGCGACACAACTTCAATACCCATTTTTTTGTAAATCTATCAATTCTGATTTTTTAGTTACAATCATACTCGGAACACTGGATGTCGACTTCGTACTTAATGCATCAACTACAACATTAACCTTACCGGGATGATAGTTTATAACACTATCAGAAGATTTACATAGCTTCGATAAGAAGTTCATTGTACATCATATGATGGTTATGGTCATTGAGTATGTAGTTGTGACACTTATTGACAGCAATTTTCATTAAATATGTCATTCATGAGCATTTTCATATGCATGCATGACATGTGATCATGGTTGAAAATCTTGCATGTGAAACATGATCTCAAAGTTAGGTTTCTTTATATATATTTTATTGACCACTACTAGGGCACCGAGACATGTGAGGCATGCATCGCGAGTGATACTTCCTAGGTGATTGCAAAGGTAGATAAGGGATGTGCCTTTGGTGATCACGGGAGGGTGGACCACTCGATTATGCCCTTATGATATTATGATTATTGGCGCTGTCGGGTGGGAGACTTCTTGGGTGATCATAGGGGTAGTTAGGGAATGGGCCTCTAGTGGTCATGAGAGGATGGTTCACTTGTCGGTGTCGATTTCATATTGATCATTTGATTATTGATATTGATATTATGCAGAGCTCTATTCGGTGCATAGTAGGTGGGTCAAGGGCCCAATGAAATGAAAGATTTCAAATGAAATGATTTCGAGTCGACTTTGATGCATATTGGAATATGATGATTTTTTATCGTAACGTTTAAAGTAAATGACATAGTGGCATATATCATTATTATTCATATTCATGACATGCATGATTTTTGCTTACTTTGTAGGTGAGCTTGGAACTACATAGAGAGCTGAAATCACATTAAATATCGAAATGGACAGAATCTGTTTTCAGATTTTCATTACCGTCCAATTATTTTT